TGAGCCAACTAAGTTTCTGCTAAAATACTCTTTCATCCAAACAACTTACAGAGCAGACACATAGCCATCCAAGGAGCAAGTGACCATTCTCCAACTGCAAGGGTCTACAGAATTCACATCCCAATTGTCCAGAACATTATAGGGGTCATGTAAGGCCTTCTTAATTTCCGTCAAAGCTACAACTGCACATTATTATATGGAAAAACAGTCACTCTATTAGATTACTTCCACTGTTTTCACTTTTCAGTTTGTCATTGCATCAAAGATTCAATATAACGAGAGGAAATCATAAAGAAAAAAGATAGAACACATAGTCACATACTCATATACATTGCAAAGGACTAAGGGGTTCAAATAATGAAGAAGTAAACACAGGACGAATACAAGGGGATTCAATGTCTATTATATATACATAAAAATATTTGTAACCTTAGATATACAGTTTAATTTTCCGTCGAAGGGGATTCAGATGAACCCCTTGCACCCATGTGGCTCTAACCCTGATCCAGAGGAATTAACAAGTTCTTCTACTCTAAGCTTAATTTGATAGAAGGAAATTTTCAGTACAAGTGAGAAATTTCAAGAAAGAAGCTAACCTTCATAGTTTACACCAGCAGGAGAAAGTGTAGCAGAAGAACTCTCCATCAATGTACAAAACAGTAGCAGCCCCACATTCCAAAACAGATACAACATTCTTTCCAGTACAAATTTCTACAATCTCACCTACTCAACAAAGTAATTTTTCTAACAAAACCTCGTAATTTATCATTAAAAAAAATGCCCTTTTTATCCATTTTCAACCCCTCCACAAACACCTGATAAACTTGCTCATTTCAAGATTGAAAATCTCAAACACACAGATGATAAAGTTTCAGTGTTTTCATAACTAGCTCTTTCAAGAAACTGGAAAAAGCTCAACACCCAAATGACAAAGTCTCTGTATTTACACAACTAGTTCATTTCAAGATTGCAAACCTCAAACACCCAAATGTCAAAGTTTCAATCTTTACACAACTAGCTTTCAAGAATTGGAAAATCTCAAACACCCAAATGACAAAGTTTCAGTCTTTACACAACTAGATCATTTCAAGATTGAAAACCTCAAACACTCAGATGATAAAGTTTCAGTCTTTGCACAACTAGCTTTTCAAGAACTGGAAAAAACTCAAACACCCAAATGATAAAGTTCCAGTCTTTATACAACTAGCTCTTTCTAGAAACTGAAAAAACCTCAAACACCCAAATGACAAAGTTTCAGTCTTTACACAACTAGATCATTTCAAGATTGAAAACCTCAAACACTCAGATGATAAAGTTTCAGTCTTTGCACAACTAGCTTTTCAAGAACTGGAAAAAACTCAAACACCCAAATGATAAAGTTCCAGTCTTTATACAACTAGCTCTTTCTAGAAACTGAAAAAACCTCAAACACCCAAATGACAAAGTTTCAGTCTTTACACAACTAGCACTTTCAAGAACTGGAAAAACCTCAAAACACCCAAATGCCAAGTTTATTTCTTTTACTCAATTATGCTAAAACTGGCAACATTTTGAGCTTAAAAGGAAATAAAGACAGAATTTTTCTCGAGAAAGGAAAAAAAACAAAACAATGACTAAAAAAGCCTGGAATTCTGGAAACCGTGAGATCTAGGAATGTGTTAGTAACTGACCCCCAAAAATTCTTCTTGGTGAATTTTAACTTAAAAGTTACTAAAAAGGTTTTTTTTTTTCCCTTCCCATCATATCCTTTTCAATATCATTATCATCATCTCCCTCTATTATTATTATGTCTCGTCACTCTTTTTTATATTTAACCAGAAAAATACAAACATGCTCAGAATAGGCCAAACTTAAGGCCAGAAACTCTCAGACAGAGATGTGGACACCTTTAAAAGTTAAGAATACAAATTAGTAGTAGTAATAAAACATGTACTTTTCCCTCTCCAATATTTTTTAAAAATTTGGATGCATTTTTGCAGTTGAATTCTTGTTTATCTGAAACTATATAAGTAATTCATATAACCAAGAAATTGCAGAGATGAAATAAAATTAATTGATTAGTAGTCTAAACGAAAAATTGTTCAAAAATGAACCACATGTATTTTTTTTCAAATGACTACTGATGTTAGGGAATGGAAAGAATTACCTAGTTTTTTTTTTTTCACTGTTGAACGCTTTTTTAAAAAAAAAATTCACATCTAATCAAATATCAAATAAATTACGATGGAATGAGCATGATATATATAGCTCGATCCTTTCATTTTATTAAATACTTATAATAGATAAAGATGAATTTTGGCTCTAACTAAACTCTAAAAGTTAGTTCACAATGGGATGATTACTCGAGTTCATATAAGAAGACCAATTTTTCATCCTTTTTTCAATACGAGAATTCTTAACACTTTCATGTATGCCCAGACCTTGTTAACTGGAGCGTGAACACTATAATATGGGGGGCCAACATTAATAAAAAAAATTGTCCAAATCATACAAGGAGCCAAATTTCTAAAAACATTTTCATCTCCATGTGAGGCTCAAGTACTTGCATAGCTAGGTAATGTGTGCAATACGGCACTGGTATCATGGTAGATGTGGGATATGAGAGAGTGATCCATTGCTACAATTAGCAACGACAAAATGAATCCATTTTTAATTAGTTCGTCCGATCCGCTTATATTTTAATGAATTAATTAGAGCTGTGCATTCAATTAATCGATTTGGTTTTAATTTTTTGGTTTTTGATTGTGAAGAAGTATAATCCAATGAAACCAAAATAAATTTGATTTGGTTTGATTTTTCTCTTTTCTGTTTGGTTTTTAGTTCTGTTATGTCAATGATTTGGAACATAATCAAAATTCTATTTACAATTTTAAAACTATATATATATAATATTTTTCTAAATTCGAAATCAAACCCAAAAAAAAAAAAAAGTAAATTACTAATGTAAAATCAAACCAAAAGGCCAAAAAATCAAATTAAATTAGAATTTGATTTGATTTGGTTTGATTTTTCGATTTATCCAAGTAGTATGCACTCTTAGTTAATATCATAAAACTTCATTTGATTTAATTATGAGAATTTATCTGTTTGTTTAGATTCAGTTAAGTCACTTAATTTATAATTTTTCTTCTCTAACAAATCACTCAATCATATGATCAATGATTCATTTTTACAACAATTGTTTAGATTCAGTTAAGTCACTTAATTTATAATTTATAATTTTTCTTCTCTAACAAATCACTCAAGCATATTTCTTTTCAATAAGAGAAATCACCGTTGATTAAAGTGCTATCGAATTTCCTTTTTCATTGTAATTTAAATTTTCAAAAGAATGAAATTCAAAAAGTTGAGTAACAAAGTAACCTCATACATATATGCAATACTTTCATTTGAAATTTTGAATTTGTTTTCCTGTTTAACTTTTTATTTGTATTTTTCTTCTATTATGTAGAAAAATGGGTTGGTTATGGATAGAGGGTGATAATTGGATGGGGTTGAGTTTATGATCTATTTTTGTTTAATTGATATCGGACCTTTGGTCATGTTTTATGGTAAATTTTGAAAGAAAAAAAAAATAGTTTTTATTTTAAAGTGAAAATTGATATTTGAAAATAGTTGTGTTTGACAATAAATATAAATTGAAATTGTTTTTTTATAAGAATTTTGAAGTAAAAAAAGTTAAAACATCTTTTTAATATTTTCAAAGTCATAAAAATTCTGAAGCCAACTTGAATTTATATCTAAAACATTTTGATCAAACGCATTTTTCTAAGTACAACTCCAAAAACAAATCATAAATATTTTCTTTAACCTGTTCAAATTCAATCCAACCAATCCAATTAGCTGCAATTAAGAACCTATATGGTCATTCAACAAATTTGAGAAAACTGTATTATTAAACTCTGTGGAAAATAGAGTTATGTATGAAATTAAAGATTGACTTCTTCTATTTCAATTTCTTTTTCTTATTTTTTTAGTCCACTTTTTTTTTGAAAAAAAAAAACGTACTTATTATCCTTTTAAGAAATTCTTTAATTTCAACCTTTTATATAATTATATTTCAAATTAAGAATTAAAGATATTTTAATTTATTATATATTTGTAATTTATTAATTACTGACAGGGACGTAATGTCAAGTTGTCCACTATGTTTGTTGCCTATCAATGAATAAAGACTGCTATTGCATTCTTTTTTTTTCCCTCTTTTTGTTATTTTATCAGTCTATTTTCTGTTTTGATACGTCCAAATATTGCTCCGAATTTTGTCTCACACATGAGGCAAGTGAATGAGGCATATATGCATAGAATTTACTCTCATTTCAATTTTATTTTTTACGTGACGATCTGTCTGTGATGTTATCTCGCTCAAATTGAGGGGGCATATTAGGATTTCTAGTCTAATATTTCTAATCTAGTACTTGTAGAAGCCTTATGGTTTGAATTATGTTATATTACATCTCAATGTATTTGTACGATATAGATAGCAAATGATGTATATTGACTTCTTGAGCACTGAGTTATTTGTTACATTACCAAATTGCCTAACTATATTACTTTTTCATAAATATTCAAATTGAAAATAATCTTATTTTTGTTTATAGAATATAAATATAGGATTAATAATCCAGCTTTCTTTCAGAAAATAAATTCTGGAAAAAAAGAAGTTATTACTCATGACTTGTAGTCATTTGCCCTTTGTCACGATCCAGACCGTCGTAATTGGCACCTATCAAAACATACTCAATTGAAGAAGAAAACTGTAAAACGTAAAGAGCATTTGTGGGAGCTTTTCTTCATAGACTCAAAAACTGTGAAGTTATGTACAGGACTAATGCTTTTATACATTGATGGACTAACTAACAAACTTGTAACTAACTAACAACTTGTAACAAACTTAATTAATAATCCAGTGTGCAGACGTCTTCAAGGCACTGATGTGCACTTGATCAATTCCTCAACATCCCCCCTCAAGCTAGGAGTCATGAAGGTGTTCTTCATGCCTAGCTTGGACACCAAATAAGTATGTTGACCAATACCAAGTCCTTTGGTAAGGATATCAGCCTGTTGTTCAATAGTGGAATATGCAACAGCTTCACCAAGCCCATTTGCACCTTTTCTCTGATGAAGTGACAATCAATGTCAATGTGTTTGGTACGTTCATGGAAAACAGGATTAGTGGCAATTTGGATCGCAGACTTGCTATCACAAAACACAGTTATAGGACCATTAAGACCAACTCCAAGCTCTGAAAGTAACCCCCTCAACCAAACAAGTTCAGCTACAGTGGAGGCTAAGCTCCTATACTCAGGTTCTGCTGAGCTCCTAGAGATGGTGGACTGTTTCTTGGATTTCCAGGAGATAGGTGAGTCGCCAAGTTTAAGCAAAAAACCAGTGACTGACCTTCTTGTACTAACACAAGATGCCCAATCAACATCACAGTATGCTGTGAGATTAATATCAGCACAGGCTGACATGAAAACACCAAGGCCTGGAGATTGTTTCACATACTTGACCACCCTTGCTGCAGCAACCATATGAGACACTTTAGGAGAATGCATATACTGACTGAGGCATTGAACGGAAAATGCAATATCTAGTCGAGTGATGGTCAAATATAGGAGCCTTCCTATCAATAATCGATCACTATCATCCTGTATATGCTGATCAAATTCAAGTGAAGTCAATTTTTTGTTGACCTCCATTAGTGATTGAAATGGCTTAGCACCTGTAAAGCCTAAATTCCTGAATTGGTTAAGGCAGTTGTTAGTTTGATATTCCATTGTCTAGATGCTTGTTTGAAGCCATATAGAGACTTGGACAACTTGCAAACCTAATTTCCTTTATCTCCAGCAAAACGTAATGGCAATTCCATGTATACTTCCTCATGTAAATCCCCTTGCAAGAAGGCATCATAAACATCCATTTGGTGAATATCCCACTTCTGCACAGCCGCTATGGATATAACTGTTCTTACAGTCACCATTTTTACCACTGGTGAAAATGTTTCTTGATAGTCGAGTCCCTCCTTCTGATTGTATCATTTGGCGACCAGTCTGGCTTTAAACATATCCACCTCCCCTGTAGCTTTTATATTTAATTTTGTAAGCCCATTTGCATCCAATAGCCGTCTTGCCTGGAGGCAGGTCCACAACAGACCAAGTAAAATTATCCTCCAATGCCTTGATCTCTGATTGCATGGCCTTTATCCATCTGGGATCTTTCACAGCTTCATTGTAAGTGTTGGGCTCATATTCTGTAGATAATTGAGCAATGTAGGCTTGATATTTAGGACTCAGGCTGGAATAACAAACCACATCTGATAATGGATAAACACAAGCATGTGCTCCTGGAGGTTTGCTCACATAATCGTGCAGCTAAGTAGGTGGTTTAACATGTCTGGTGGACTTTCTAGTTGGTATAACAGTAGCTGGGGCTGATGGAGCTGGTAAAACATCATGTGCAGCAGCATATCTAATCTCTAAGGAGTCATCATCATCAACTAAAGGAGGAAATACATCAATATGCGCATTACTGTCAGCAACAACCAGTTCCTCTGTATGGACAACCTCAGTGTTGTTGAATTGTGATTCTACAAGAGGTGAGGTGTGGACATCTAAAGGAGTAACATAATCAATGTTGGATGAAGTAAAATGTGGGAAATCCTCAGTACGTAGAGATGACTGATTGAAATGAAAAAGATCTTCATGAAATACAACATCTCTACTTATGAAACATAACTTAGTATCCAAATTATACATTTTATAGCCTTTCTGATGAATGGCATAACCTAATAAGACAGATTTGATGGCCCTGGGAGCAAATTTGTCTTGTTTGGGTAATGTGGAAGCATAGCAAAGACATCCAATCACCTTCATATGGTCTAAGGAAGGAGCATGACCATATAACATCTCAAAAGGTGATATGTTTTGAACAACTGAAGAAGGGATCCTATTTATGACATATATTGTTGCTTCAATACAATGACCCTAAAATTTTAGTGGGAAAGAGGACTGAAATCTAATAGCTCTGGCTGTTTCGAGAATGTGTTTATGTTTTCTTTCTACCACTCCATTCTGTTGAGGAGTGTAAGGACAAGAACTTTGATGTATAATACCATGTTGCTAAAACAAACTAGAACATGACTGATTAAAAAACTCCAAACCATTATTGGATCTAAAAGATTTTATCTGCCTTCCAAATTGATTTGACACCATAGTAATAAAATCTTTTAAAATATGAGATACATCAAACTTTAGTCGAAGCAAGAAAACCCAAGTGAGTCTGTGAAACACTTAACTGTCATGTTTGCACTAGTTCCTAAGATTGAAGTTTTGTCCCTCATTTGTTTCCATATGACATAGTCATTATACTGATCCCTGGTACAGTCATTTGTCCCTCTTGATGTGAGTTCACAAGATTGGCCTGAGCATTCTTCCCTTTGAATTTGTGGTCAGCTGGATAACCAATCAACTGGTAGCATTTGCCAATTAGGTGCCCTGCCTTTCCACAGTGATCACATTTCATCAATTTGAAGCAATCTTCCCTTACATGTCCCTTCATGTGACAGAAATCACACACAGAATTCCAGTTCTTCTTCTTAGATCCAGAGCTTTTAGAAGTGAAGAAAACAATAGATCCTCCATCATGATAATTGGAACTACTTCCAGCTGCTAATTTTTTACTTTCATCATGCACAATTAAAGCATACGCCTGATTAACACTTAGCATCTTAGATTTCATGAGAATTTGGCTTCGAGCTTGGTTGTATCCATCATTCAATCCCATCATGAACTGAAGTAGCCTTTGATATTGAAGTTGAGCCAGATACTCCTTTGATTTCTCACAGTTGCATAAAGGAGGAGGCATCATCGAGTCGTATTCATCCCATAAGTCCTTGAGTCTGGAATAAAATACAAAGACTGGACGTGTCCCTTGTGTAAAAGTGAAGATCTCCTTGTGTAATGCATAGAGTCTGGAACCATTGATTTTATTAAACCTCTCTTCAAGCTCTTTCCAAATCAGATTCGCATCCGATCAAAAAGGATTCCACTCAATAGATCACGACTGACATTGCATGTCAACCACGAGACCACAATCGCATTACATCGATCCCATAGATGTCCTGACCCAGATCCATACGTCTCTCTAGTGATCGATCCATCTACAAAACCTAACTTGTTTCTTCCTAAAAGTGCAACCTTCATCACACGAGTCCATAACATGTAATTCTCCATTCCGACAAGCTAAATTCCAATTTGCAATGAACTTGGTCCATCAGATGCACTCAAGTGTAGAGGATAATGACAATTAATTAAAGGTACTGATCCTATACCAGTGACTGGAATAGGTGATGAATTACTTGCATTTGTCATTGTAGGATTCGTCATTGAGCTCTGTGTGGCTCTGATTCCATATCAAAACATACTCATTTGAAGAAGAAAACTGTAAAACGTAGAGAGCATTTGTGGGAGCTTTTCTTCATAGACTCAAAAACTGTGAAGTTATGTACAAGACTAATGCTTTTATACATTGATGGACTAACTAACAAATTTGTAACTAACTAACAACTTGTAACAAACTTAATTAATAATCCATTGTGCAGATGTCTTCAAGGCACTGATGTGCACTTGATCAATTCCTCAACACCACCCAATAACCCTCCGGTTGGAGAACCATTACTACATCCCAACTAAGCAGCTTAATCAAAGTACTACACATTTAAAGCTACGGAAGCAGGTTTAAATAACTATATAATTAATATGGAGTCCCCATAAACTCTGGAAGTTCAACTAACATCTAACAACTAATTCAGAAATACCCCTAGAACCTGAAAGTCATTGTACCAAAACTCTTATAACGACAAGTCTAAGAACAAGGGGTACAATCCCGAAACTAAACAAATAGTTTGAGTCCAAAAAAAGTGGATTTAAATAAGAGAGATCCATGGCAGCCTGAGAGAACTAGCTCACCCTTGAATTCGGTCACGCTCAATAGTCACCTAGCTGAGGTCTATCACTAGCCACTCGAAGAAGCCCTCTACTCAACAAAGAAAGAGCAAGTGCAGTATCAGTACACAATCATCGTGTACTGGTAGGATCACACAGCTATCCCAATAAGTGCAACATAAGCAAGTAATTACAACATCATAAACATACATATACCGAACATATACAATATCAGTCATCTTATCAGGAAGCATGCTCAATTCCACATTATTAATAGCAGGTAGATACGAAAACATCAATAACAATCAATGGTTCTCTCATGGAACCCACACCCAAACTGTTAGTGTATCGGTACGTAGTACCCGATCTAATGTTTATGTCGGAACGTGGTAACCGATCTCATATTTATGTCGAAACGTGGCAACTGATCCCATATTTATGCCGGAACGCGGCAACCGATCCAAGTTAGTGTGTCGGAACGCAACACCTGATCCATTCAACAAGCCATAATCACAAACACAAGTATATTCTCAAATCATACAATCAAGTCATGATTCATGGCATTCATCATTCATCTATCCTTATTAGTGTGATCAATAATGCAACATTCGCATACATACATGTATTATAATGAAGCAAGAACAATCATGCATCACACAACATGAAATCACAACCATCACCTACCTTGAATCCAAGCTTGAATCCCCTAAGGTACTTGAATCTTCCATTTTCGTATTCTTTCCACTTGTTCTAGGTCTACAACAATTAATATACGCAAGGATCAACAATCAAAGGTCTGATTATTCGGATTATAACAAACTCAATAACTCAAGACCAAACCCATGATCCTAATATCCCAAATTAGAGCTTCTTCCACCATAATTTCCATATCAAACTTTCTCCCATCGATAATTACCCATGAATTTACATTCTACAGATTGAATAACGGATTTGGGGAGTGAAAACCTTACCTTTAGCCTCAAGAATGGTGAAAAACGGTCAAGAACTCGCCTGGGGTCGTCACATAGCTCTCAAAGTCAAAAAGTGCAGAATAAAACGTTTTTGGGGTTTATTTCCGACTTAAGTCGCGTCTGTCCCGCCACAGTGGTCCTCACCCCGCTACAGCAGCCCCACCCTAGCGGCACAAATTCCTGCCATAGCGGCCTGCACGGAACAATGAGCAAATTTAATAATTCAATACCCCCATTTTCACAACACACTTTCAACCAACGACACTCAGAAACTACGTAAGATCAGTTTCAGGAGTTCTAATCACCCGAATTCAATTCCACAAAGTCATACGGGTTCCTTAACGTCTCAGTTATCTACTCATGTGATCAAAATCATAATTAGATCACCCAATTATTACCAGATTTCCCTAGACCTTACTGACTCCGATTTCGTCCAAATCTGAACTAGGTTGGAAATTTCAAGTTACTATCAAATAGTTTTCTGACCCCAATTCTTTTCCCATTGGCTTTTCCCTAACGATGGAAATCAGGTCTTTACACCCTTTTTCTCATCTTATATGTTATCCTTTCAAAATTGCCCTTCTCATGTGATTAAATTCAATATAAATAATTGTCGGTAAAATGAGAACTTTTAAAAAAAATTGTTCAAAGGAAAATGTTTTTTCATAGATTTTTTTTTATAAAAAAGTAATCAAAATAAATGATTTTTACATTTATTTTCTAAGTTTTAGTTAGTAAATAGAATATATTATTACAAATTTATTTATTTATTTATTTTTATATAAGTTTTAGTTAGTGAGGGAGTGTAGATGGGACGGGTGAGGTGTTTGGAAGTGTGGAGCATATAACCAAAACTAAAATATC